GGGGCTGTGCTTGATATCATCCCGTACAAGCTGCAAGCCTTGCCTTGGCGATTTATGGGCAGATGATAGTGGTAGCCTCAATGATGCGAACTGCACAGTAGTCACGGGGGAAGTGAAGAGAAGGTGTAGACACGACATATGTGTGCAGCACTACGACACCGGAAGTTTGTCATGTGGAGTTCGATGGTTCGAAAGATTTGGAAGACTGGCGGTATTCAAGCTGAGTAGATGACCCCCTTCGTGATGATGCTCCGGGGCTAGTCTTTCCAGCGATATGGCAATATGTAAATGTGCGAGCTTACACTCCCTTTCTCTGAATCCCCGGTAATTGGCCGAGTAGAATCGATTCGGATAAGTTCGGACAGGAGGCAGGCCCCTGTGTATGGCGTTACACACGGTGCAAAACAAATGCACGAACCAATGCCGTTGCCTCCGTATAAGTACTCACGTGAAGGCTGAGGCAATGATGTTCGGATCGACCCGATCGATCACTACTTGGCTCAAAACACAACAGTTTCTTTCGGCCAAAGGTGGTGGACAGCATCGACTCGTGGATTTTATCAATTATCTCGACCCCCTTCTCGCCCCACGTGTAAGCGCTTCGGTCAATTCGCCAATACAACCGCGCCCGTCGATAGCGGGGATGTGCTGGGTTTTGGTTCCGGTCTTTCTAGGCAACAACATAGAACCCAATGGTTCCCCCCAGTACCCATATTTTCAGTGAACAGAGTACTATGGTCAGTCCAAGACCCAATATCAACAATTGCGACACCCACTTTATGAACTGTTTCTATGCACCCAGGTGGTTGTTCGCAAAACCGAAAGTACCGGCAAACGCCCTGTTTCCAGGTGCAGGTACCTGTGGAAAGTTTTTTTTTTTTACTTTTCTTGTTGTCGATTTAGTTGCAAATAACCGGGAAATCTTGTTCACTTTTTCCTGGGGTGGGCTTTTGTTGTTGTTGTTGTTGTTGTCTTCACATTAAAAACCATCCCGGTCTCTCTATCCAGTACCTCCTTCTGTCTCAAGTCTCCGTACGAATCCATCACTTGACTCGGCCAATTTCCGTGGTCACAGGCTAACGTACCTAGAAAAGGTATACCAAAATAAAATGGACCCCAAGGGTCAGCAGAGCGATAAAATACAAGAAAACAAAATA